AGGATTCCCAGAACTGAGCCAGGGATGGATCAGAGAGCCCCAGATCTCCCCTATGGAAAGCCAAGGATTCATTCCCACAAACTGAGCCAGGGATGCATCAGAGAGCTTCAGCTCTCTCTCCAGGAGAACCAAAAATTCCCCCAAAATGAGCCAGGGATGGATCAGAGAGCCCCAAATATCCCCTTCAGGAAACCCAAGGATTCCCAGAACTGAGCCAGGGATGGATCACAGAGCCCCAGATCTGCCCTCCAGGAAAACCAAAAATTCCCCCAAACTGAGCCAGGGATGGATCAGAGAGCCCCAGATTTACCCTACAGGAAAACCAAAGATTCATTCCCACAAACTGAGCCAGGGATGAATCAGAGAGCCCCAGATCTCCCTCCAGGAAAACCAAAAATTTCCCCAAAGTGAGCCAGGGATGGATCACAGAGCCCCAGATTTACCCTACAGGAAAACCAAGAATTCCCAGAATTGAGCCAGGGATGGGATCACAGGATCACAAAACCACAGAATCCCAAAATCACAGAATCACAAAGTCACAGAATCACAGAGTCAGAGTCACAGAATCAGAATCCCAGAACAGTTTGGGCTGAAAGCGACCCTAAAGCTCATATCCTGTCGGTCCCCAGGGCAGGGTCCCCGAGCCCAGCCGGACACTCACGTTTGCACATATCACTGGGTCCGCTCCATCGCCCGTCCGCACAGACAAAGGAATCCCTGGTGCGAGGATTCCTCCCAAATCCCGGCCGGCACACGTAGTGCACCACGGAGCCCGGAGAAAACCCCTCGGTGCCCTCCTGAAGCTGCCGGGGCTCCGCGGATGCCAAACGCGGCGGGGCACCGCAGTCACCTGCGGGCACAGCTCCGTCACCAACCGGCAAAAAAGAGAGCGATTTCAGGGCATTTCGGGGCATTTCAAAGGGATTTCAGAGGGATTTCAGGCCTGATTCACCCTGCAGGTCCAGGTGAAGACTTTCAGTGACCCAAAAACTCGAGAAGGGCAGCCCTCCGCTCACCCTCCGCAGCTTCACCCTCCGCTCCTGCTTCTCACTCCTCACCCAGCATAAAGTCCGCATTAAGCATTTCCTCTCCCGATTTAATAGAAATTATCGCTTTAATATCAATTTCGCTTTTTCAGCTAAAATAGTTTTGTATCTGCTTCCCGCAAAAAAAGGGGAAAAAAAGGCAAAGGCAGAGGGATTGTGATCACAGAGATTTACAGCGCCCTCGAAAGGCAAAAGCGACGAGGAAAAAGGAAGTATCCAAGTTTTGTAAAACCCAGGAGAAGGTTTTCCTTCGGGGGATTTCTGTTTTTCCTGAGGGATTCGTTCACGTACCGTGGATGGACACAATGAGAGCAGCAGAGAGGAGCGCCCCAAGGGCAGCAGAGCCGCTCCTCAGCCTCCCCAGGATTGACATGTTTATCCCTGCCTGGAGATGTCAAAACCTTTTTTTCCTGGTCCAAATACCTGTAAAGACAGCAGAGATGCATTTAAGGGTTTTTATACTCGGACCAAGCCCAGCTCATATGAACAGCTCTGATTTCTCCATCCCTGAGCAATTCCTACACCAAAGAGGAGCAGAACGAGCCGGGTTTTAATTTCTTTTCTGGAAACTTATGGGTAAAACATTTTATTTTTAGGAATAAATCTTTTGGAAGTGAATTCCTACTCAGACGAAATCCTGCTGGCGTCACCAGCACAGTGCCCTACCAATGAATTACCCTCAGAGAATTATCCAAGCAAAAAAAGTTCCGTCAGCTCTGTGCAAACATTACCTGAGTCAAGCTGCAAAGCTCGCAAGCCAATCAAAACAAATTGCTTTACAAAACGGAATTTCAGGGCAGTTTGCACTCACCTGGCACCCCTAGGGATCTGTAAGAGTCCTGTCTGTGTTATCATTTATGAGGTTAAACCCTCCCACTGTGCCCCAAATGCCCCAAATACCTTCTTTCCTCCTGGAAATGAGGGTCCCCCGGCTGCTCCCTGCCCCAAACCCAACACTCCCCGGCTCTTTCCCTCCTCTGCCTTTCTCTCAACTCCTGTCACACCTCCTGGGTTAATTTGATTTAATTTGCTGACCTTTGTGCCGATCTGGAGCGGCACAGAAGCTCCAATTCCTTCCCCAGAGCAGCACCGGGAGCTGCCTGGCTGGGAATTCTCTCACCTGGAGTTGTGGGGGCAGGAGATGCAGAGCCCTGGTGTG